AAGGCCGAAGTATCGACCGAAAAAAATCTGAAATGAATTTTTTTCTGTGTGCTGTTTTAATTGTGTTATTATTGTCCGAGGTCATAGCATCTCAAGCATTTCTTTGTAAGGAAGCGTCTCTTTCTTGTCCTGTCATAACTCGCAATCATCGCCGACTCAAAGGCTTTACGCTCAAAACATTTCACTTTGCAAGCCTGATATCCTGTGGTTTGCTATGTCAGAGAGACCCTCGATGCGTTTCGACAAATTTCAGAAAAGTTTCCAAAACTGAGGGAACCTGTGAGCTGAACGACAGAGGAGTCTTCCCTCTTGAGGAAGGAAAAGAACTGGAATATGACGAAGAAGCTATTTACACTCAATTATATGTCAAAAAGGTAACAAAAATTTGTCTTATCTATTTTAAGTAATGATCCATGCAAGAGGTGGGCATCTTAAAAAAGTGTGTATGTGTTTATCTACTGGAACACATCTAAATAAAAGACGGACAAGCTACGATCTTCTCTTTGTCACGAGAAGGGAACTAGCTTACTGATGAATTCTCTGTTAGAGGAATATCAGAACACGAAAGCCTCTGACCTGAGATTTTATTTTATTCGTGACATCTCAGTCTGGTAAATACTTATCTTTTCGACGTTAGAAGTAAACATTTATCATCTGTCTCAGTAATGCGTCTATCCCTTGATCCCTGTCAAGTTATAGTAAGGTGCAATGTCGGGTTTTCATCTCTCTTTATAAATGCGAGTGGAGAATGATTAGCGGCGTTACTGTGAATGTTGACTTAAAAAAATAAAATAGGCTACTTTCCAAATTTTCTGTATCTTTAAAAAAATGATTCTTGCAAAGTGTTCCGAAGCACAATAAGATTAATTGTGTTGAGTCTTCTCAAATCATTTTGTGGATTGAAAGAGGGTAACATTTATTTGAGACACAAAATTGTAGTTTTGGCTTTGGCTAAAAATTTAAAGATGAGTTTCTATTTGATGATTAACAAGGATGACTAGTTGATTTCCTGATTAAAAAAATATATATATTTTGATGTCTGAGCAGCATAACTGTCAAGTTTTCAAGGAAGAGTTTAAAGTCGTCAGCTACAGATGTAAGTAGGGCTGAGTAGAAAAATAATCTTAAAATTAATGTCTAAGATCCTGTACTTACACCACTGAGGAGTTACTCGTCTCAGCTGCCTCTTGTCCTTGAGTGTCCCATCGTGATGAACCTCCCCGAACCATTTCTGGACCTTATCTGCTTCCTTCAAAGTCCTCAAATGTGGTTTTTAAAAAAATTATTGAACGGGAAAATACTGCGAGGGTCATTGCTCAACCAAAAAAAAAAGATGAAAATAATAAGAAGCTGTCTAAGACGTTGAAGATCTGTATTTTCCCAATTAAAAGTCATTCATAATTTCAAATGCAATTTGTGCTTACGGCAACGCATTAAGCACATCTGGGGATTTTACTAGACAATCCCTATCCAAAAACACCTCTGGATACTCCGAAGGTAGAGAGAGAGAGAGTTCTTACCTGTTAATTTTTTTCTTATTTAAATCCTTTAAAAGAAGTCGAAACTTTAAACTGCACTGATTTTTATATTTCTGTTCAAATGTTGAAAACATCTGCAATAAGCGGTAAACTTGTCAATATGTGTGATTGTCTTTCTCTGTCTAAAATACATGTGTGGAATCACCAAAAGGCCCAGTTCCCTTAGGTATGGAAAATGGAGTTATTACTGACCCGCAGATCACTGCATCGTCCGTGCATAATTATAATCATGGCTCGCAAAATGCAAGGTTACATTTCAAGGGAGACCCGTTGACGCGTGTATATGGTGGCTGGGCAGCTGGTCTGCTAAACACCAACCAATGGCTGCAAGTAGATCTTCAGCATATCACAAGGGTAATAGGCATAGCGACGCAAGGGAGACATGATGTAGATCAGTGGGTTACTGAATACAAGCTACAATACGGCGACGATGGACAAACTTACAGTGTCTACAGTCGAAGCGGAGACACATCAGAAACGGTATGAATACTAATGACTTTTTGAACAAAATGTTTTTTTTTTCTTCTTCCTGGGAGGGTGGAACAACGAAAGAAAATCAAGAGTCCCTAATAGAGCAGTAGAACCTGAGACCTTAGAATTCTTCACTTCAATGCACTAACGCTACACCACAGCCACCTGACAGGCAGCTGGACTATTACGAGGTCCATCATATATTCAAATATGAGCTTTTCTTTTTTGCTTTTGGTGGGTCTGAGACGAAGTCGAGTAGTAGAAATTAGTGAGATCAAACTCTGTTAGTTTATATCTATATTCATTTTTGATTGCTGATGAACATGTAGAAAAGCATCAACTAAGGTTCTAGGTTTAGAGTTACCGCTCCTGTGTAATGCATACGTTCGTCAATTTTACATCCCATAATATTCTACTCAGGTTTTCCTAGGAAACACTGACAGAGACACAGTTGTGTATCACGATCTTAACCCGGTCATTTATGCTCGCTTCGTTCGAGTTGTCCCGATGGAATGGTATCTTCACATCGTAATGAGAATGGAGCTTTACTCTTACTCTTGTCAAAGTAAGTT